TTCAGTGTTTCAAAGCAGGCTCCAGAAAGGACCTGCAAGGCTGATTCCATGTTAACAGGGTCTGGGGCCAAGGTACTTGACAACTGCATTACAGTAAAGGCACTGTTACTGTCTCATAAGCAAGCCACCCTCCCCCCACTTTGTTTTGGCCATTCAGACTTCCCTTTGCTCTTTGCCTTCTCTCCATCATTCTCTATTTTGGAGACTCATAATCCATATGCATCTTTTAGTTGCATTTAACCCTTGAAATTGTACTATTAGCATTTTTTATGTGTCGTGCCTGTCTGCTTTACACAAAGTACCCAGGAAATTCCTGGTCATATTATCCTAGGCAAAATCCCACAGACATGGACTCTCTTTACATATTGCATCTGTGAATGCGATATCCTAGGAATAAGAGGAAACTGAGAGCCTAAGAGGCTTTCAAAATAGTCAAAGGCTCTCTTCTCCTATATCCAAGACCACCAGTAAGTGAGGACTTGAAGTGGACTTAGCTACTTTTTCCAGTGCTTTCTAGGAAACAGGTGCACACTGCTACCAGGAAAGAGGTCTCTGTGCTACATTGTTTTTAATTAACATCATTTTTTTTCCTGTATGATCTTTGAATATTCTGGTAACTTGGCATAATTTTCATAAGCAGTTGTCAGAACAAAATAAATGGCGCCTGAACATGTTACCAAGAATTATGATTATAATGTCTTTTATGGGTTCTTATTCCTTCATTTTATTTTTCTAATCAAGCTAGACTGTTAGTTGCCTTATTACATCATCTACTTTCATTACCTGGCTGTCAACCCCTATACCCTAAGAAGTGGGAGCTGGCACTTGTTACCTATCAGGTATCTAAGAAGTTAAAGTATCCTTGGGGAAAAGGGTGAGGTTGACAATACCTAGAATTGGCATTTTAAGTTTCACAGTTATTCTCTCTGACTCTACTAACATAATTACTCTTTGTCCTCTTTATTTTTCTCACTATCTTTATTAGTGCAATCAGATAGATCACTGTTGAATACATAACCCAGGACCTTGGGCCCCTGCACATCTGGAGTGCTCAAGGTCCAGAGCAGAGCCTGGATCCTTAGGAGGAGAGCTGGAATACAAGCTTTGTCAGAAGCTGGTTTGGACCAAGAGAGTACTAAAGTTTTTCTCAGCTGTTACATTTCCATTTATCCTGGCTTTGTTGAGGTAAGGTTAATAAATAAAAATTGTATTTATTAGGTTGTACAACATGATGATTTAGTATATGTATACATTGTGAATTTATTACCACAATAAATACCTCTATCACCTTAATTGCCATTAATACCTCTATCACCTTAATTGTATGTGTGTGGTAAGAACACTTAAGATCTATTCTCAGAAAATATCAGCTGTCAACTTTCTATCTCCCTTTACAGTCACTGATCATATGCATAGCATGCCATTCTTAAGCCAGTATCCCACTTTCTCTGCATTCTAATTCAAAGGATCTTGGGAGACCAGGGACAATTTCTACTTGCCAAGAGCCATTACTCATTGGCAAGGAATAAACAAACCCAATTTGAGTGAGAAGTGACAATGAAACTGCATTTTTACTAAATCTTTTTCAGCCTTCCTCTCATTGTTACCTCTACCATCTTTTCATGCACTGAAAAAATGTTCTAAAGTCTCTGAAAAATAGAAAATCATAGAAATTCACATGGCCTCAGTTTATTCAAATTAGGATTGTATCCCTTATTCTGTTTCTCTTCCGGGACACCAGTGACACAAGACTGGTATTGCTTCTGAGGAGCTACCTATGGTGTGACCATCAAGCTCCATTTATTGCAAATGGTTAACACAGCCTTTCACTCCTGATGCCTATAAAATTCCCATTATAACCAGTTTCCAACTTATATCTTATACTCTGTATTAAGTTTCCTTCTTTCTCTGACTTTTCCCATAGAAAAATCTCCAACTATTCAGCTTTCCTCTCTGTCCAATTCCTTATTGTCACAGCTCCTTATTTTCATGGATGGAGAAGCCACCAAAACTAGTAGCCCAAAACTTGGAGCCATCAATCAGTAACTCATTAGTTTTGCTACTCAAGAGTGTCTCCTGAAGAAAGCTACTTCCAGTCTTTATCTGTAGGGCTTGATACTAATGTTTCATTTCATCTCAACAAACACAAAGAACCCATGTCAATTCCTGGGTAAGGTGCTGGAGATACAGAAATGTACCTGACATGTTTTCTACCTTTGAAAAAATTTTAATCAAGTGGAGGAACACAGTCATAATTTTCTCCTCAAATTTATTTTTTCCCATCTCATTCATTTTTGCATTTAGCAAATAGTTGAGAGTCTACCAAATACCAAACACTGAATTAGGCATTGGTGGTATTGAGATTAACAAAACAGACATGGAACTTTCTGTCAAACTTAGGATCTACGTCATTGGAGGTCAGTGTTTCACTAAGGAGTGCAATGGCTCCAAAGGATTATGGGTGGTGCTGGTTCAATGCTCAAAATGGCACCACAATTTCCTCCCTTTGTGAATAAAAGACTGTCTCTATTTCCTTTAGAAAGTATTTTGAACCAAGTGAGTCAAGAACCCAATTAGTTATAAATTTCATCTACTTTTCCATGATATCTGTGGTCTCAGAGGAACCTGGGATCATGCTTCAACTGCTTGCTAAGGCCTCATGCTTCACTGAAAGTCATCCCTGACCCTCGGTCAATTTCCCAGTCCAACAAGTAGTATGCAAATAAGTTTTTAATGAAGTTTTTAAAAACACCAGAAATGTGTTTCCCAACCAGAGTGATCATAGCTATTCTGTTTTGTGACAGGATTGATTGAAGTGCAGCTAAAAAATAACCTGAAATTTATTTGACCGAAGTCTTCCCTCCCTATTAGGAAAGAGCCATTCTGTTTTTTCTGCTTAATCATGAGGAAGAAAAACAAACAAACAAGTAGAACATGAAACTTCAAAAGAGATAGAAAGTCTGGATTGTTTGAAATGCCTTCAGGCCTCTGAATACCCATATGTGGCTGCTTGGGTGGGGAAAGATCAAAGAGAGGGGCTGGTGTGGGCAGAGGCTGTGTGTGTGTTTTTGTAGTACCCCTTGATTGAGGTATCTATTTGCATATGTGTGTCTATGGAGTGCCTAGGATAACATGTGGGTTGTTTGTATTCTGTGTGTATTTTCTTCCATACATATACATTTTTCTGAATGTATTTGTGGATGCTGGTGCATGAGTGACTGTGTGTGTGTGTGTGTGTGTGTGTGTGTGTGTGTGTGTGTGTTAAAGAGTGGCTTCAGTTGCTTTCTTACAAAAATCCTAATCCATCACTAATTCCCAGCAATACAAAAAGAGAACTGCATAACCTTGGTGAACCTGGTTATCCCCAGTGGCCTATGAGCTCTCTGAATATAGGGGTCCCCCAAACCCCTTAATGCATATTTGGACTTTTAAGGAGTACTTGTTGAATTACCAACTGGCAGCAGTTTTAATGCATACCTGGATCTGAAGCTGTGGGAATTAGTAATCAACAGGTTGAGAAGAGGCAAGATAGACATACAGGTTTTCTTGCTGACCCTATGAAATACCCATTTCCTCTGTCCCTCCTATGTCAAACCTGTTCCTCACTGAGCTCTCTTTATGTATCAAGTACTCTATCAAGTGCCAGGGAAACCATGAGGACTTGGTACTGGCCTATAAGGAGTTTACCAGGAGTCTACTATATCTCTGTACACCCTTTTCTTTATTCCACACTTGAAAGATGAAGTTCAGACCTCTACCTTCCCCCTGCCTGGCAGCACAACCATTCATGACTTCCTCTCCTAAGAACTAGCCTGCTTTTCCAACTGACTCCTAGATCTTGTGTGATTTCAGGAAGAGTCATGTAAAATCAGCGTGCTTAAACCAATTCTCATCCTCCAGTGTTTTGCTCCTAATAGTCCATCCTGTACTGAGTGCTAGATCAATCATTCTAAAACAAAACATATTTTTACTGCCCTACTAAATGGTTCTGTATTACCTACAGGGCAAACCCTGTTGTCCCTATACAACTGTTTGTATTTACCCAACAGCTCTAAAGAAGCCCTGTTCCTTGTTAAGTAGTAGTCTCAGTGAAGACAGAGATACAGAGAAAAATCTAAGTAATAAACATGGACATTTCATATTTTTAAATATATTTTTCTGATTTAAAAATTGTTATTTTCAACACAAAGTCACTCATTCAACAAAAAGTTATTGAGCAGATAATAGCTGTTTTGTTTCCCTACATAAGAATTATTCACTCAAATATCTGATACTTAGTAAGTATTAATCAGGTGGTCCATTAGGATGGCATCTCCTGTCTCAACTCTCTTCTGCATTCTTTGTTTTGGCAGCAAAGGATAACAATAGGAGAAGGGAAAGTCCTTGCAGATGATTCATGAGTCAACCCCTTTCTAGCTCTACTGTGGTTTGCCCTATTCCTTGAATCTGCTCCAAGTCTCTTTCACTGCTCACATCTGCAGAAGGATCAGTTTTCAGAGTGGTTTTCTCTTCCTACAAATTCTCTGCATCACCCTGGTCAGTCCATGTCCCCAGTGAATGTTCCCAGGGCCTGTTTGCAAGGGACAGACTTCTTGGATGATGCCACTGGTTGTTTAACTGAGATTCCTCACTACAATGCTGCCTTCACATGACTTATTGGTAAAAATATATGTATGGTGGTGGCAAAATGTAAAAAGATAAGTCAGGGAAAGTTTAATTGATGATAGGAAGTTAAGTTGATTTTAAAAGACATGTTGTGGAAAGAAGGAAAGGATACTCCTGATGAGGGTATATGATTTTTATGTAAATAGGTAGAGAGAGCAGGGCAAGAAATGGATTAAGGATTAAGCTAAATGTAGGATGATGAGGGTAAGGAATTCATCTGAGACAAGACTTCTCCATAGAACATAGCTACAAGGCCCTGCCATAGGGGAGTAAAACATTTTATTTGATCTGTTGTATCATCTTTCATTTCTATTTTTAACAGGAACTACACTTACCATATCAGTGTCTGACACAGGGCCAAAACTGGTCACGTAGATATCAGTCTTCACTTCAGTCACAGCATCTGGGATAAAGAAAGTAGAAAAGTAGAGTGTCATGAAAATCTGTTTCCTTAGCTCTGAGAGAGACCAGTGCAGTACTCTGAATAACAATATGCTACTTCTGAGAAAGGATATTTGGCAGAGTCAGAGAGAAACCCCTAAAAAAAAATCTCTCACCTATACTATTTCTTCATGGAGAACATGCTAGGTACAAGTACAAAGTCCATCCCTTTAGGTATCATTGAGAATGACAGCAGAATCCCAAAGCTTATGGAGAATCCCTTAGAGATCTCTGGCATTCACATGTGGTGGACTCTCACACTGGGAATATCCTTACTTGTGGTAGGTTACAAATATTCCAATATCCAACTCTCTTCCACTTCTAGGAACATAAGATGACTGCACTCCTACTCCCTTGCTCACTTAGAGTAGGGAGAGGTCACAAGATTTATTTTGCTTATGGGAGGAAGTAATATGTGTCCCTCTCTGGCTGGAATATTTAATGTCCCATACAAGCCCTCCCTTGCCATAGTCATCATGGAAACATATGTTAATGTGGAGCGACCATAAGATTGAAATAGCATGGAATGATGAGCCAACACATGGAAGACAATTTCCCTAAAGAGTTGCCTGGATCTACAATAGAATTTGCATGAATGAGAAATAAACTTTTGTTGGGTTGTGACTAATATTTGGAGATGACTCATACCACCTCATACACTCTTTTTGCATTTAGTTTTCTTTCTTATAACTATCTGTTTTCTATTCTGCCTTCCTACCTAACCCAAGAACCCCAAAGGGCAGTTTCCCTGTTCTGTTATCTCTGCATCCTCAGTACAAAGAAAAGGAACCTGTTACTCAGATAGTGATTACTGAACAATTTGGTATGAATGGATGAATCTCATCACATATTTGCCAAGTTGGAAAATGATGTCCAAAAAAGTAAAGTTATTCCACTATTAAGTTTCTTTTCTCTTGCTTGGTTCAGCCCTGTTTACCCCTTTGCAGCCCAGACTAGCACATCCACTCCAGCACACCTCAAACAGAGCATAGGGCAGCTTACTGCGGCCTAACAAAGCCCATTCCAGCTTCATCATTACAGTAAATTCAAACAATTCCCACTCCAGCCCAGAACACCTGACCCCAGCAGATCACACCAATAACACAGCTAACACAAAGTCCACACAAGACTTGATGCATGTATATAATGAGACCGGCTAATGCAGTCTGTGGCACTACTTATTTTCTGTCATGGAGAAGGGAACATGTTTACTCCATCTGTAGCATATTCACTCTATTCATCCAGTCCTGAGTCCTGGCCCAGATATTCTTTAGATCTGGTTGACTTCCCACTTTCCAGAATCATCCCTTAGGCTTAATAAACTGTTCCCCTACTCAAATACTGAGTATACTCAAGGCTACTTCATGCACCCACAAACATTTAATTTTCAGAAGAGATTATGAGTATCATTTAATAATAATAAACACTATAGTCAATTTACCAAAACACACAATTTACTCCCGAGCTTAGTCAGCAAATGACATGTCTCTGAAACAAGAGCTGTGCTTTAAATAGGCTTTCATCTAAAGCACAGGCATCCTTCAAAGACATTTCTGTGCTTGAAGAAGAGATGACACTTTAGAACCCAGGGCATGCACCCTAAAGACTTGTCTTTTCAGATACAAGGTCTTAAGATGAATTATATGAACAAAGCCAACTATACCCCTTTATCTCATTATAGGCACAGATGTACTCTTCAGTCCTTTCTAACGACAATCTTCTAAAGAATAGTGAGTCTTTGAGGATTGGCACATTGGCTAAAATAATAGTAATAAAAAAGCTTTGACATTTGTTTTCTTACTTCCAGATCACTGGAAAGTTTGGAGAATAAGTGCTATTGTTGTGCACACTTTTCCTCTTGAAGTGAGACTAAGTTGCGGAAAATGAGGTCCCATGTGACTAGCTGTCTGGGTCCGCTACCTATATGGATTTAAGGAGTGGACTACAGTGATAATGACAGGTCCTCATAGACTGGAGAGCTGGATTGCTTTGTTCTCATGCTAATGACCTTTCCATTTGTCTTTGACAATCCTTGGGGGGTGAGATACCATAAGTAATCAGTGACCCATCTCCCAATAGCATTAATTACAGGTTAAGTTCCTGGAGGAATCAGAAACAGGTGGCTTAATGAAGCAGAAGTCACAAGATTCTGTGTCAGAGGTCCTGAGCCATAATTTAAACTTTGCAATTGACTCATATTCCCTTTTGCAAGCTGGACATAACTCAAAACTTTTCATATTTGGTAGGCTAGAAATCTAGCACTGTATTTATGCTGCTCCATTTATTGTCTTTAATAGACAACTGTACACAATGCATGTTTATAACATACTAGTAAAATATACCACAAGATTTAAAAGAGACCACAACCACCACCTACCTAACCACTGTGGGTTCTCATTAACTCTACTATTGCTAGAATCTTGATCCTCCCAAAGGTAGTACAGAACAAAATGCACTGCCTGTTTCTCAAAATTCTCAGGAATTTCAGTTTTAATGATGCCCCAAAATATGTCTTTCAGTCCCAAGCCAGATACAGTTGTGGGCAGTAGACAACATTCAGATAATTCAACTCCTTTCACTGGTTCCACAAAAATACTGATTCCTGTACCATCACCCTCATCATTTATTCTTCCTTTTAATCTGGCATTTTAATACTTAAATTATAAAGCACTAGAACATATTTCAAGTGTCAATTCAAATGGTTGCATTTGTCTTTCACTCAATCTGGATATTTCCCTCCTGTAACCCTTCCCATACACCTATTATTTGTTACCTAACCCAATACTTATCCAGAAAGTAATGTAAAAAGCATTGAATTTTATTTCAGAAGATCTTGGTACAAACCCAAGCAGTGCTACTGACAAGCTCTATTATCTTGGGTGACAAATTTATCTCCCTGAGCTTCAGTTTCCTTATCTAGAATATGAAGGGTTTCAGTACAGAAATATCTAAAATTCATTTAAAAGTAGTATATGAATCTTTGGTTTCCTAGTTTCTAAAGCCAGATTAGATCAGAAGCACCAAATTAGAACTGAAGAGACAGGCACAGTAGCAAAAACAAGAAATAAGCACTAAAGTAGTAAAGAAGGAGATAGTAAAAATAATAATATCCAGGATTTGGTCCATGGAAATAAAATATTCAAATGGTTTTCTATAGGGAGGATGTTGTGCTCAATGCTCCCAGTGGTGTTACTATAGGTTTATAGAAGCACCTTCCTAGAATATCTTTGTCTTCAGACTTTTCTAGTGACATCCCTTCCTTGCAATAGAGACCAAAGGCAATATTTGGATTTGTAGTTCCAGAGGAAAGGGGTAAATATGTGTAATTATCCATCCACATAGAAAGAAATGTCAGTATCAGGTGTAGAAGAAATAAAAACATCAGAGAGCAGTCTCTTCAGCGATTCATAGCTCTTTGCTACAAACAGTCCATTCCTGAGAGCTAATAGGGTTTCCATGGGGCAACATTATAATGACCAAGAAGTAAATTGGAGGCTCACTATATGATGTCTTCTCTACTCTAGAGGCACACACTGAAAGCCAGAGGAGGAGCAAGAGAATCTTTAAAACAGCTGAAATATCCCAAAATGTTACAAGGCTGCTCTGGTATTTTTCCAGGGCTTATTGATTTTTAGCTTAAGCAGAAAATTATTAAATGGCAAAACCATTGGTTGGATTAGGAATCCGGAGACTTGGATTAATCCTGGTCTTACTTCAAGTTAGCTATACCTTAGTTTCCTTATCTACAGAAATGGGAGTTGCTTTTGTTATGATTCCAATTCCAAAGCCATAATATATATTAGAAGAGGCTACCATAGTCACATACACTGTCATCCTCTGGAAATATTTGGGACTTCCAGATGAGATAGCATAAGTAACTTTTTATCTCAGTATAACCCTTCTGCTCCAAGCATACAGTAATGAGAGATAAAACATGAGCTATATCATAAAAAGATATAGTTGTTTCATATAAAAGATCAAAATATCATGGAATAGAAACAAAACAAAGGTGTAAGCAATGATGAAGCCAGAGTTATGGGTCTGAAAGTAAATGTAGTAAAAGAGACTAAAATATTTCTCTGTACAAAAGAGGAGGCTGGAAACAGGCAAAGTAATCTTTGGTCAGAGCTGGGGCTCTTTTTTTAAAGAAGATAGAAAACGTGAAGCTGAACGGATGCCTGGGGCATGGTTCTGTTTGAGGCTACAAGCTTGGGTGGAGGTGGAGTGGGGTGGGGATGGCATGATATACAAAGACATAGTCTTGGGATTAGTAATTGAGCCAAGTAAATTTGTTGGACCAGGAATGAATTAACAATATCACAATGGAGATAAAACTTCAAAATACTATTGTAAGTCCATTTTGAAATAAGGATCAGAGTAGAGGCAAACCACAGAACCACTAGACAGTAAGAAAAAGAGGGTGAAAAACTAAATTTAAAACAAAACTAAACTGGTTTCTGGACATGGTGGATTAAGTACATTACAGACTTTCTCTCCCACTGATTATAAATAAAATGTCTGAACAAAATATAAAAGCAACTACTCAAGGACTCTGAAACTTAAAAAACAAAAAAAACAGGTGGGTTAGAGGGGATTCGAAACTTGGTGAAGCAATCCACAGGGGAATAAGTTTAATTTTTTCTTCTTCTTTTCTCTTGCAGTTCTGCTTCACAGGCAAAGCTGTATAGTCAGGCAGTGGCACAAATAGTCAAAACTCTGATTAAAAATACAATAGCCATCTATCAGTGTTGCCAGAGAATCAGAGAAAAAAAAAAAAAAAACCCTGCAGGCCAGAGAGTGTAGAGAAACCCAAAGTGTAGAGGGTTATATGAACTTCCACAAATCACAGGCTCACCCTTGAGCACATGCATAGAAAAGACCCAAGGCAGCATGCCAAAGACTTTGAGAAGTACACTATGATTTCAACCACCACCTAAATTTCAGACTGATCCTGAGTAGCAC